AGTTTGCCAAGTGTCATTCAACTCGACCCTCTCAACTTACCGCAACAGTAGACGTTTCTTTGACAACAAATTTGGCTTGCCAGCCACCGAAGAATTTCTTACTAGGGGTGTAGAAATAATCAACCAGCTTGTGAAGGACGACGAAAAGTGCAGATACATCTTAATAAATATGCTTTGTCATTACACTGTGCCTCCATGTTACTCAGATGACACAGACATGAAGTACTGTAGGGAGGACTGTGCGGCCATTTTCAAGGAATGTAGAACCCCCCTGAATCAAGTGATTGGCGCCGTGACGTTGCATGTGGCAGCGGAAAAGATTGATTTTATACACACAAGTCTACCGAACTGTTCCGGGCACCATAAGGAAGAACATTTTGAAGAAAAACCAGGAAAGATCTGTATCAAGACAGGCTTTTTCAGTAAGTGAACATTTATTAAGTAATAAGAAACTTTTGGTGTGACATCAACTTCTCCGTGTGTTGCACAAGGAAATATATAGCAATTTGGCAGAATCTCGCAGTCTCATGAATTCCCTAAGGCTTTTCCAGCGCCCACAATAATGCGTAACTAAAAATTTATATAATATAGTAATCCATTGATAGCGGTGTTTTTAGAGAGCAAAAGAAAATATTTCGTGAAAGTCAAGCAGAAGCAAAGTGGTTCTTAAGATTTAGAATATTGTTCAGCCATGGCAAGTGGTTATTTCATATTTTCCATAACTGTAGAAATTCTCGCTAGCTCATCGGTCGAGAATTATTGTAAATAAGGTTATACGCGATAAAAATGACGTGGCGTGTAACGCAACGCTCGGCAATCCTCGCCAAGTCGGAGAAAACACTTATCTCGTTAAAGTAATTGAAATCTTCTGAGATATTGACGGTAAGAATATTCCGGATTTTAAGATCGATATACTAAGAAAAAAGTCTGAAGAAGAACTTGTCGAGATGGAAGAAAAAGCGGGGGAAAATCTTCAGAGTTCTGTTCGCAAAGTTGATAGATGGACAACCTCGTAGAAATACTTGCCGATACCGTTGCAAACGGCGCAAAATTTTTAAACTACGTGGGCAATAAAAAACCTATTCAGGGCTACAGAGTATATTGCCATCCATTTCTTACTGGTATTTCACTGTACAAGTTATTACATAACTCAAGTTAAAACAAACAACAAAGCAAGGATCGATCATGTCACACACGCGTAATTTTTCGAAAAACTTTGGCGTATTCAGCTGGCAAAAAAATTTCAGTGTTATTGTAAAAAACAAATCGATTACAATTTTCTATTGTCTATAACCTTGTTAGTCATAGAAATGACGTCAACAATACTCAAAATTGTGCAGTGAAACCACTCGATTGCCCTTCGTGGTTTCACTCTAGTTTTGAACATTGTTGAATTCTTTTCTACGATCAATAGGGTTGTAGACAAAGGAAAATTGTGGTCAATTTGTTAAGCTGAATCTATAGCCTGTTAATAGGGCTGCCGCCCGTGGAAAGATTTGAGAAAGTTAAAGACCTGGCACTAATAAAAAGCCTTATTATCAGTGCCAGACCCCTGGCAGACCTCTCGCCTCACGGCCTTATACTTTCCCGCGGTCGCGCTAAAAGTGAGGGCCTGCTCGCATTGAATCTTTAGAAATTGCAGTTTTTTCGCTTTTTTGAAATACCATCATTGATGTTTCAGCTTTGTGTGATTTTTCCGGAGTAATATATAGTGATATTTTAACCATGCATAGAGAGCAGAGTCTGGCAGTTATTTTAAAATATTTACAGTAAGTCATTTTGATTGGCACAGAGCAAGTACTTGTAAACTAATATTCAACCATAGAAGTTAACCCCCCCCCTTCCCAAAGGAGAAACGATAGGTACGGTAGAAAAGCGCCTTCTCGTACATTAGATGTTAATTTGCAGATACAGATGTTAGTCTGCTACAGTACAACTATTTCATTGCAGACAATTTTCGTTTCAACCGATCCAATAAGTCGACCTAATCTGTGTTTTTCTTCTTCTCAGATTACACAGAGACCACGATGGGTGCAAACACTGAGAAGCCAACCCCACAACCTGGTAGTAAACTGGGAATTATCCTTCCAATTGTCATAGTTGGCCTTTGTATTATTTTGTTATGTGTCATCGTGGTCGTTCTTCTTCGAAGACGTCAGAAAATGAGGGACGCTGTGGATAATGGGCACGCGCTATCCCACAAAGGTTCCATCACCATGAGGGACAGGTTACGAGCGGAGTCCCTGAAGAGCCTGGACTCGCGCTTGTTAGGACTTTTTGACCCGAAAAAACTGAGGCAATACAATTTGGACCATGTACAGTACGTGAAAGA